CTTTTTTCTCTTCCTTGTTTTTTTGACTTTGTTTTTCCCCTTCCCTGGCATAGGCCGGTCTGGCCAATTGCGGTGTGTAACAAAAACTCTATTCCTCTAATATATTGACGTGCAATCTTTTGTGCGTTCGCGAAAAAAAATATGCATATATGTCAAGGTTGTTTTGAAGGTTCAATAAATTTCCCGCGGCTCATCTCCCTGTTAGTTAAAAGCAAACCTCATACAAGGGAATGCATGTGACTGTGAGCTGTATACTGTACATCAAGGTCAGAATGGTGAATTTGATCCACATTTGTTAACTTTTAATTCGTGAAATTTAACCCAATATTGAAAGACACCTAAACAAAAATTTCTTACTTGCCGTTTGCGTAAGCCTATTGTACTTCTAGAACTTCAGTAATGCTGAAGAAAACGAGGACCCAGGATGCATGTTTGGAGCTATACAGGGTTTTACATCTTCCAGAACCACATTAAAAACAAAATGGTAAAGCCATTACTAAAGGATCACCATATGTCAGAACAAGGTCCACACAAAAAAGAACGGAAAGAACACATTATGATAATAAACTGTCTCTCATACAGAGAGAGCATAGTATGTTACTTCTTGATCGAGTGAAGCCGAAAAATTTTAGCCTCGGAAGCATGTTAACCTTCTACTTCTTATTCAAACCCTTCTCAGAGGAACCAGAATGTCGACCTTGCTTCCATTGAACTATTTCCACCTTTATGGCCCTAGAAAAGCAATAATTAACAATCTGATAAAATTAATGGTTAGAATTTTAAAAGTTCGACTAAATTTGTTGAATTGAACTCTAAGTTTTATAGAACGGATGCTATTAATTTATCAATCATGAGATGATGATACTAATGCAAGCAAAAAATGGTATAATAAAACCTTAATAAATCAATGGCAAACAAGGAAATATATAATTACCGGTAGGGTTCAATCTTTCGTTTTCGGTATTTGTATGGGGGTGCCGATATGGTGAATTTTATAAACTTTTGAACAAATATTACCAAAATTCAAGAAAATAAAAAAATTGGGCCAAAATAATATCGTATCGGAGGGATCCGAAATTTCAGTCTGATTTGAAATTGGTTTTTCTACTAGGGGACCGAAATTTCGGAAATTTTGAAAAATTTTGGCCAAAATTATTTGAAATTTTGACTGATTTTGAAAGAATTTGAATAAATTTTTGACCAAATTCAGAAACTTTTGCAAAAAAAAAAAACCTAAAATTTCAGGCGAGATGTGAACTTTCCGGTGGGGAGCAAAATTTCGGAACTTTCGAAACGAAATTTCAAACCCTAGCTCCAATATAATAGGTGATAACAATATGTAGCCATTACTATCTAGACAAGCCACATTCATCAGCTAGTAAAGAAGATACAGGGACATTTTCAGCTGCATTAGAACCCTCAAACCAACGACATCCTGAACCATCCCTGATACTGAAATTCACAAAGAGAAATACGTGAATAGAATAAAAATCGTCAGAGATCTGAAAAAAAAAACAAAAACACTTACCACTCTAAACTTGAGCTCCTCGGTGAGGCCCCATCGACAATTACGCTGGAGCGACCAATGCCGCATACGGAGCCTGCACTGCACGGAAGATGACAGCAACAGCAAACAAATCAAGGACAAGCCGGAGCACTGACAAGTAACAACTCAGATTAGATTAGCGAGGGTGGGAGTCACAGTTGCGTACCGAAGGCAACGGCATGTGACAGTGAGCGCGAGCGGGTGCGAGACGGAATTACGGAAACAAGTAGCACACGCGAGCTTCGGCGCCGGCGCCGTGGCCGTCAGCTAGCGCGACTGCGCGAGGCTATGAGGAGGGAGAATTTCCGGCTGGAATTGGCTCGGAGACAAATCTCTCCTTAACAATATGGGCCAACGATCTCTCCTTTACAATACGGGATGATTTGTAATCCAAGAGCCCAAGTTAATACGGCCTCTCAAGTCCGCGGCCCACATGCCCACATTTCAAATTTCTAATGGGAGCCTTGTTCTGGGAATTATTTATTTACTAGCAAAATGCCCATGCGTTGCATTGGGTGAAACATAAAAAAAACAATGGTTTTGCTGGCTAGCTGTCGACAGTTTTGGAGGCTAAAAACTTTCGATTTTCTGGCCGTACGATCCGCGCGAGATGATTTTCTAGCTGTGCGATTCGATTTTCTGGCTGTACGATCCGCGCGAGATGATTTTCTAGCCATGCGATCCGCGCGAGATTTGGAAAAAAAAATCTGTACACGTGTGCTTGCAGAGGCTCGAACACAGGGTCCCCATCCTGGAAGCCATGCGTGCTAGCCACTTGATCTGCTGCATGTTTTGGAAAAGTTAAATGAGTTACATTTTAGTTATAACTACATTGTAACTACTGCACTGTAACTATATTATACATATATTATTTTAATACTTATATATGAGTTACATTATAGCTATAGTGAAATTATATTGTAATTATATTATAGTTAGATTTGAAAGTTTTCTCCATAAAAAACTTTCGACAGTTCTCTAGATAGTCCCAAAAACAATAGTAATGGGTGTGTAGGAGCAAATCGAATCTTTCCGGTGTAAGTAAGATGCTAACATGACATAATTATTTGTTGATCTAAATCCATTGACATGAATGATTATAGGAAAAGTATTATTACCACTTTAAAATAAAATTATGTATTATAGACTAAAGTTTGAAACCCAAAAAGTATTTACTTTTGTCATGTATTATTATGAGTTGGTTGCAATACATGGTTATTTTTTGGTACTTGATATTGATAAACACCTTTTTTTTACATATTGTAAAGAGTAGCAATAATATAAGAAATGTTTCTCGCTATCTATCAGATCAACCTCATTGCACTCCAATCGCATAATCGTTTTCACTCAAAAAATTAGACGGAAATCATACAATGAATAGAAAAAAATTGGATGTAAACACGATTCATTCTGTTGGTGATTACATTTTTTTAAAAAAAAGACATGTGATTGTTTTCTATTTTCTAAAAATAATTTATTTTGTCATAAATAATTCATTTTGTTGGTGATCACATGTTTTTTTAAAAAAAATACATGTGATTTTTTATTTTTAAATTAATAAAATTGCTCGTTATTTTTATATGATTCTTGGTAGACGTGGATCCAACCTTTTTTTTTGGTGTAGTAGCCTCAGGCAAGCCTTCTATTTAAGCTAGTGCTGCCCAAGCTAGGCAAAATGTGGTATTATTTGTGCACTGACATGTGACCCGTGTGGGGCCCACTTGCCATGTTAGTTAAAACTGGCCACGATACTGCCGAGGGATCGAAATTGACAAGGTATTGTAAGTTAAAGGATGAGGTTACCTGGCATTTTTATTTAGGGATGGATTTCATATTCGGCGATAAATTAAGGGACCTCAAGTGAACTTATTCCCGGTTGCTACAGTATCGCACAGTACTGTACTGGGCTGCTGCTTTGCTATGTGGGCTGACTGCTAGGCTTCGTTTGCTTTTTGTTGGGCCGGCCTGCTGCTGCTTTAGTTGGGCTGCTTGCTAGCTTTCTCTCTTTTTTTTCAGTTTCTCTTTTTATTTGTGGAGCGTCAAAATCGCCGTCACGCGTCGCGATTCGCATTACCGGCGAAAATCGCGTGGGCCCATCCTTTAATGACGGACGAAAAAATTAACCGGATTAATTAAAATATTTTTAAAAATAAATTACCGTTTTAAAGTTTTGTAAAAAAATATACACCTCCAGCCCTATCGTAGGGTGGGGCATATACATCGTCCTAGGTAGACGCGGGCTATGTGACGTACCATAAGGTGGGAGGGGTGTGCTATGGCAATTTTGTAGGCGGACCCTTCTCAACCTCCCGTAGGATGATTTAGTTTTGTGACATTAGCAATAGTTTGGTGATGCATGGGGTGCGTCGTGGTAATTTTACAAGTGACCCTTTCTCGCGCTGTCGTGTGGGGCTATAAAATTGCCATGGCGTGCCCCTCCCACTATATGACGTGCTCATAGCCTGCTCTACCGTAGGGCGATTTATACACCCTGCCCTATAATAGATTGATAGGACAGGAGAAGTATATTTTTGCAAAACTTTTAAAACAATAGTTTATTTTTGTAAATCTCTTAAAACATAGATAAATTCCTTGTTCTGGCTCTTGCTCGTTGTTAACCGCACCAACATGTACTAATACTCAACGTTCTATACTACACTTTTCAATTTCTGCTTTCTCATTTTTCACGTGCGCGTTTTCAAATTGCTAAACAGTGTGTGTTTTTTTAAAAAAAATCTATAGGAAAGTTGTTTTAAAATTCATATTAATCTATTTTTCAAGTTTTTAGCTAATATTTAATTAATTGTGTGTTAATTCGCTGCTCTGTTTTGCGTGCTGAGGAGAAAGGGTTCCCAGTGGCCAACACAACCTAAATCTTGATCCTACTCTTAGACTATCTTTTTGAAAAAGAAGTCTTGGGCGTCAAGGTCCTTGCAACTCTTAGACTATCTTCTTGGAAAAGAAGTTTTGGAGGTCAAAGGTCCTCACAGCAATGGTGGATTAGCGGCCAAGTTTGTTCCCTTCTGTACAATTTCCTACAGAGTGCCAACCTCTATTAAAGAAAGCAGAAGGTGGAGATTCTTTGATCCGTTAACGAACTGTAGCTTTCTACAGATAGAGTATAATATACAGTCACTAGCTATAAGTAATCTGCTACGCGGGTCTCCCAAATTCAATCGGCGACCTTTCCACAGTCATTCAGTATCTACATTGCCCAACTGCATGTGCTGTCACGGATGATATTAACAGTCTTTATCATCTGAGGATGGTAGCAATTTGGGTGGTACAAATTGGATAAATTTATTTGAAATCTGGCAAACCTAGATACACAGTAATTCAAATGCCTCTTAATTTGCAAGTTGGTCGTATCTTGTTGGAGGGAAAGGTTCGGTGGCTCATCAGTTCTTCAGTCCGTTAATTTGCAAGTTGGCCGTCTCTTGTTCCACTGAAAGCGTGATGGCTTCGTAGTTAAAGCAAGATTGTCATAGCCAACGCCTAATGCTGTAAGGCGTGACAGCAAGTCAAGCTGGGGTCAGCGGTCGCCGTCGCCGGTGAAGAAGCACGTGGACACCGTCACAGTGCGGCGATGAAGCTGTTTATGGCCCTCTTTTGGGGAAGCTGCTCCAAACAGTCCACAGTTTCTGAGAATATGTAGTTACAGATTCTGAGAAATGAACTAAGAAGCTAGATTTCACAGCTTTTCCAGATTCTCAGAAGCTGGCTACCAAACAGCTGTTTCTTAGAATCTAAAGCTCCCCAAACAGAACCTATATACCTGATGGTGGCTACACCGAGCTACGCCTCTTTGCAGCAGCTGCGAAGCCTACGAGCGTGCGAGTGAGCTTCCAACTCGATCACTAGCTGCCGCTGGTCGCTGCCGGAATAAACGCCAAATTAAACAGCAGCGAGGTGATCGATCGATCCTACTGTGTTTTCCTCCGTTTTCCGCGATGAAATATATGTTAATGTTCGTGCTTTACATCTGGCAGATGGTCATGGAGGCCGGCCTTGCCTGCTGTGCCAAGGCCAACCATCGTCTGCATCTGCATCACAGCAAGGAGGCTACACTTGTGGCGTTTTTGCTGCTGCTGTCTTACGGAGTTGGCAGCGTCCATTGCTCCACGACGGTGTGCAGATCGTGGGAGGCACGCACCCCTGTATGCTGGTGGGCTGGCGTTAGATGCGGCCGGAAGAAGCGCCCTGGGCGAGTCGTGGATCAGCTGGACCTACAGTACCTGTTCCTGTCCGGCACAATCAGCCCCTTCCTTGGCAACCTCATGTTTCTCGAGGAACTCGACCTTTCTTTAAGGGGGATTTTACGGTACTTTCCACTACTGGTGGTACCAGTATAGTATATTCAAATCAAACCGTTGGTTTGTAATGGGTATTTTGATCCTTTTTAAATTATTTTGGTATTTTTAACATAACATAGAAAGGGGTATCAAAATTTCCTTTTTGCAACGCATCGGGAGTTCGGGATAAAGAAGATAGATTTGTCATCTAAGAGCATTTCCAACAGCATGGCCAAATCTCACTCTCCAAATGCTCATTTAGCTAGTTTGCCAAAAAGTTAGAGAGTTAAATTTGTTTTTTACTCTAACAGCATCTCTATTTATCTTCTCCAATTTGACAGTGGGTCCCACACGTATTCCCCTCTCTTCCTCTACATGTTTCCTCTTCCCCAATCCCCATCAACCCAGCAGCTCTCACCCCTGCTGGTCGAGGTGAGGGGCGCATGGACTAGGAGCCGGCGGCGGCTTCATCATCGGCGTGATGTGCCCCTGTGCCGGGAACGGCAAGTACACGGTGTGCGGCGGCATCTCGCTCATTCTCTGCTATTTTTGTTGCGTTTGGTTGGCTAGGGTGGATATGATCAGATTCCGATCGATTTGGAATTGTTGGTCACTGCAAAAATTGCGAATGGAGAATGGAAAGGTAGGCAAGCAACAACGGCGAATTTCGTGCAGATCGTTGACTTGTTCCAAGATTTTGGGCTGTTTATTCACCTCAATTTTGGGCTGCAGCTGCGGCACGGGGTGCTCGTGTTCATCCTGCACGCCGTGCTGTAGCAGCTGCGGCGGCTGCTGCCCCAAGTGCTCCTCCTGCACGACGCCGTGCGTCGGCTGCCTGGCGTTGCTCTGGCAGTGCCTGAGCTGCCGTCGTCATGCTGCAAGGGGCAGCTGTCGTGCTGCAAGTGCCAGTCGTCGTGCTGCGAGGGGGAGCCTTCCTGCTGCTGCTGCTGCTGCTGCAGCGGTGGCGGCAAGGGATCGCCGGCGTACTGCTGCGGCAGGTCGTCGTGCCTCGGAGGCGCGACGCCGGCACCGTCGTCTGGCTCAGGAGGCTCGGCGGGCGCGACTGTCGACAGCGCGGAGGACGGCAAACGATGCGATGGAGGAGGCAGAGAGGAGATGGGGAGGAGGAATGTGTGGGACCCACGGTTGGCTAGTCACTTTTGGCTGGCCAAATTTGGCTAGCGGAGGAAAGGTTTTGGCCAGCCAGATGGCTTAGCCATTCGGTTAGAGAGGTTGTTGGAGCACGTTTTTTTTCTAGAATGGCTAAAATTTAACTTGGAGAGTGGAATAGAGAGGCTGTTGGAGATGCTTTAACAATTTCAACGGCCAGGTTCCTAGTCATTTTGGTATGCTTTCAAATCTATCCAAACTAGATCTTGGGGATAACAATCCTGAAGCAAGTAACGATGAAAGTTGAAAATTCGGGCGGGCATTCGGAAATTGTACCAATCTGAGAATGCTCCGCCTAAATCATGATCAGCTAGGCAATGTTTGAAAAATGGGTTTGGGATATGATTTCCCACCCTTCAAAGGGTAAGTTTCAATCTTAGCCATCCATTCATTTCACCATATTTTATCCTATCCCTTCATTCATTTTGATTTCTCAATCCCACCTCTCCTAACCCATTTTCCAAACACACCCCTAGAGGCGGATATACCAAGCTCGATTGGTAACTTATATCACTCTTGAGTCTTGAACAACTATGGTTGGACGGAAACCACCTCGCCGGCGTAGTTCCTCCTAGTATAGGAAACTTTCGGGGCCTCGCTGATGTGCAGCTAAGTAGAAACAATCTTACTGGTAGAATTGAAGAATGGATTGGAATTTGGAAAGCTAACTATCTAGAATTCCTGCATCTCCAACAGAACAACTTCGTTGGGCCAATACATCCTCTATTGGCTATCTTTCATACTTGTCACTGTTATCTCTGGCAAAGAACAGCTTTGAAGGTCACATACCAACTAGTTTCGGAAGTCTTCAACAGTTACGGGACTTGAACATTGGTTACAACAATATATCCCCATGGCAGTATACCATTCAGTATGGAAAAGCTTCGAAACCTCACTTATGTGGACCTTAGCCACAATAATCTTGGTGGCTACACACCATCCAGCTTTGGAGACCTTCCACTGCTTGGGCAGTTGGACCTTAGCAACAATAATTTCCAAGGTATTATTCCTTAAGAGATCATTATGTATCCAGAGTACTACTACAATTTTTTTTTGAAGGTCCGAAAAATTTCCCGTGGTTCATCTTCTCTGGAAGCTAAAAGCCTAAAAGCAAACCTTACACGAAAATGCTCGTGATCATGAGCTGAGGCCCCAAAGTATAAATCCCAGAACGGTGAAATCAGCCATATTTCTAAACCTTTTTTTTGTGTAATTAGAATGATGAAATAATCGTTTTGTAATCAATCCAGGACGGTGAAGATATCTGAAGATTGTCAGGACAGCTGCTCTGCTCCGCTGCAGGAAACAGCTCCGGGTTTGCATGTTTGGAGCTATACAAGGTTATATCCTCCAAAGCCATTCAAAAGTAAACGGCAAAGCCGTTACTAAAGGCTAATCATTACGGAAGTATACCTTGGAACAAGGTTAGCATAAAAAATGGACAATAACAGTCACAAAATATGGTAATAAATGGTCTCTGATATAATAAATATACAAGACCACCGATAGTAAGCGTAGCATGTTACTTCTCGGTCGAGTGAAGACGTTAAAATTAGCCTAAGCAGCAGCTTCGACCTTCTGTGTTTTATTCGCACCCTTTTCGGAGGAATCAGAATGTCGGCCTCGCTTCCCATTGAACTGCTTTCCTCCTCTGTAGCTCTTTCCAGTCCTAGAAAAAGAGCAATAACATATATATGACAAGGGGCAAAGACACATTATATTCTGCAGAGAACATTAAACATGGGCATACGAGATGATCAATTTTCGTGCAAGGAAGTATCTATTCGACATATATATACAAGGAATTAAGGAGCATATTTGTGGTAACCACAATACTGCAATGCACAAATAAATTGCAATTAGCGCAGGTCATCTAGCTCGAAAATTGCAAATGAAAAAGTCATAACATTCTCAAAAGGCACACAAAGTTATTTCGGTCTAATTTGCCACAAAATTACTGAATGCTGTAGTGTGCCTTTCCTGATAATTGTCTGCAATTACTTCTAGAGATAATATTGTACGTAGTACCAAACAGGACATAAACAAATAAAATTAAACTGTTAATTCATTGAATACCTTCCTTTGTAACTCCTATTGTCCTTGTATTTCCCTTGAATGCCACGTATTGTATTCCAATAATCCTTCTCAGCTTCACCTGCAAAAACAAAAAAAGTAAGACCCCACAAACCAATTTAATTGCATCCAGATTTGAGGAATTAATTTACAGCGTCAAACAATAATAGGAGTCGATTCCACCTAAGTATCATTAAATGGAACTAAAAATTTTCTATAATGGATATTCTACATTTATTAATCATGATACAATGCAAGCAGTAATGGTATTAAAAAAACTCTAATAAACACATGTCAAATTGTCAATTACCAGTCACAGGCTCCAAGGTAACAATGTGGTCTTTAACTATCAAGCCACCTTCATCAGCTAATACAGCAGACATGCGGGCTTTTTCAGCTGCCTTAGAATCCTCGAAACGAAGGTATCCCGATTCATCCCCGATACTGAAGTCCACATACTTCAGGAAGAAAAACATGTGCAATGAAAGTAAAAAACGGAATTAAAAAGTGTCATGTGAATTTGTGACATAGTGACATACAATATGAACAGTTCACCACCACAGCCATGCCAGGTACCAAAGATATAGATAATTAACATTATGTCATACCACTACCTCATAACTGTGCTCCTCCAAGGACCATAAATAAACTTTTACAAATATGAATTTACAATTAGGACTAGCTATTAGTCTATTACCACGATTTTATGGTGTGTATCAAGAACATTTTCAGGCATTTCCCATTCCATAGTTAATTGATCTTAATAATTTTACAACTCGTCATGCTTAATATCCCACCAGATCTTTAAGGACAAATGAAAGTACAAAGATAATGCCATATGACCCATGAGTTAAAATCTGAGCTCTCTGTGGACCATATTTGAATCTAGAAGAATGCTATATGTTTCATAATTTTCATTCCATAATGTTAAACAGAACTGTTACTGGTGTTTATACCAAGAAAAACTAAAGCTAGAAAGTGGTGTGGATTAAAATACCCGAACTGTTCCAAATTTTTTGAACGCTTCTTTTAGATCTTCCCTTGAGATTGGACTATTCGCTTTGCCAGAGAGGCCTCTGTCATCTTTGATCGATGTTTCATTATCACCCTTCTTTTCACTTTCTAGCAAGGCATCAACTGTGCACTTGTCACCAGATTCTGTAGCTTCCCCAGCATTCACTTCTTTCGCTTCAGTCATGTCGTCTGATGACTTCTGTTCCTCCATATCACTGTTCACGGTAGTCCTCTCTTCAGATTCCCCAGTTGATGTTTTCTTCATGGACTTTGGAGTTTCTTCTTCAGTGGCAGTATCATTGTCTGCACAGTTTTGTTGCACCCCACCATCAACCGTGATTCTCTTCAATTTGAAGGCCACAATTAGGCCTTTAGGATAGCTGCAACACAAATTCCAGGAAAATGGTCTTGATTTGAACTCTAAAGGAAGGAAAAGTAATTGAACAGACAGCCTGTAAAAATGTCACCCTTCATTCTGCTCGTCCTTCTTAGGATGTGCCTTTTCATATGCTTCTTTTTTAGATTCTGTTTCAGCATCAAATTCCTTCCTTCATGATTCAGGCAACGAATTATAAGTTACATAATGTCACATACAGCAACAGAATGAACGCAAATATGTGAAAGGCATCATTAATTCAAGTATCACTAAAAGAGGTAAACATGCAAGACAAGGAACTTGCTAGAGGGAAATGCTTGCATGATCTGACACCAAACTAAACAAAAGAAGTACAAAATTAATGCAGCTTATTTCGCACATTTCATTCAAATTGCACTTAATAGAAAAGAAAGCAATGTTGGCAATGAAATGAGGTTTGATAACTAACAACTTACCGGTATGGCAGTACAGCTAGAGGGGAATATATTGGAATTAACATAGAAATTTATGGTGATAGTACTAAAGCAAGCATTTTATCTGCACATTCCACATGTATGATTATCATGCAAAAAGGATATGTTAGTGGCTTACTTTAGTTTTATTTCCAGATTTGCCCCTGCAAAGAACAAATTATTCTCCAAAACAATTTTCGCTTCATCCTCTTCTGAAAATTCAACTAAGGCAGTGCCACAGAAGTGTTTTTTGTTTGAGATATGGCGTGGTAGCCTGACACTATTTACCTACAATTCAGACACAAGTACACCAAGAAAATGTTAATTCATTGATATTTGCAGTATAGTATTGCACATGTAATCATAACACTGGAAAAGCTCCAGATAGCCAGCATGCATAACTGGTAATTATGTTCATGATACTCAAAATCCTAATTATGAAAAAGGTTCACGAGAAAAAAAACTTCCTTTGTTCTGTTGAACTTTGAATCGAATTTATGCAGCCTAGCCATGCCACCTTTTCTCTTTGCATTACATTTCAATTTCATTTCAAACTAACTGCAAGCTTGTTGTGCACTATAAGTGTTCAGTACTTGGACACACCTTTGCATATTGCGCAAAGAAAGATTGGACATCTTCCAGCTTTACATTGTAAGGCAATGGTGACGCAGCAACTGTCCTTGAGTCCACTTGCTTGATGATTTCATCTGCCTTCAACAGCTCACTAGCTCGACCAACCATTTTTCCTGCATTTGAAAAATACAGCAAATCAGCAATGATAAAAAAGAAACCAATTTACTAGAGAAACTTAACTCACATAAAAGTAGACCAGCTCTAGTTCCCAAACTAACACTGTATTTGAGAACATGGCATATTTATCATTACTAAAGAAGGAAAACAAAAGTTTATTGACAACATTGAATAGCAGGTCACAAAGCAGAGTATATGTACACTTTACATCGTTATCTAAAAATGTACACTTCACATGTTTCACTGGTATTTACCAACTCCTTTTGAAATTCAATTGCCAGCAATTTGTGCTCGTTGCTAGTGAATCACGAATAACTGGAATTAAGAGGAAAGAGAGGAATCACCATCCTCCGAGATACGAAGCATCTGGGAACGACGTAGCACCTCTGCTACTGCGAGCACTGTCTCCTCTGGCACAGTTTCGGGCTTCACGGCGGCGTCCAGCCCGAGGTGCGACTTCATCCGCGCGAAAGAGCATATCAAAGCCAAGCTTACCACTGCACATTTCCAACAAAATGAGAAGAAAAAAAAAAGACGCTAAGTTCAGCACTCAATCATCGCGCCGGAGAAAAGCAATCCGCGTGGAAAATGTACTGCGCGAGAGATCATTTACATCCATCTTCGCGCTGCTCGACCGTCTCCCTCAGGAACTTATCGCGCGGGAGGTTGCTGTCGCTGAAGTAGAACTCCACCTGCGACAACCAAACCAAATCAAAAGCTCAAACCTCCCCCCCAAAAATAAATGCTCAAACAAAATCGCCAAAAGGGGGAGAAATCCGCCGTGAACAAACAACAAGAAGGCGGGATCGGACACCTGGCGGAGAACGCTCTTCGCCTTGGCCTCGTCGATCGACGGCGCCGCGGTGGCGGCGGCCATGACCCCGATCGCGATCGAGCTGGTGTGGAGAGGAGAGGAGAGGAATCGGCGGCTTTAGGGTTTGGGTTTAGGAGCAGCGCGCGTACTGTGCAGCGTGCCGACGAGGAAGACGGACGGAGAGTGGCCGAACCTTTCGAGGAGCATCTGCTGGGCCCCGCCCAAAGGCCCAAACACTATCCTCCGCTACATTATACGAGGCCCAATCACCGATTGGGCTAACCTTTCTAAGTTGGGCCGGACCCAATCTCCATACTAGGCTCAGCCTCGCGGTCCATGGCTTCAGGTCGAGATGAGGACTTGTTTTGGGAGTTACAGGCAGTCGTAGCCGTAGCTTCTTTGAGAATCAAACTCTCTCAAACAGTCTAGTTCTTCATCTAATTTTTTGAAAAGTTGTAATTACAAAATACACAAAATAAGTTAAAATCCAGAAGTTAATTCTTCCAGTTTTTTTAAATTCTCGTAAACCAACCAACTGCTTTTTAAGATCTTAAACTTTCTCACTTGGCTGTCCAACGTCGACGCGTCGGCGTCGGCGATCCGATAGAGACGCCATTCTCCTCGTCCTCCTCCGCACTTGCGTGCAGGGGTTCTCTCCTCTTCTCCTCTCCTCTCTCTCCCGTTGCGATCTGCAAGCTGCGGTGTAATCTTATCCGGATTTTCTACCGGAAACGGCCGCATTTCCCTCTCGAGGCCGAAAACGATGTGGAATATCCCTTTCCATGTTGCCCAAATACAGTAGCAAAGCTAGTACTTAGAATTCTGTTATCTTTAGAGTGACTTGTCACACTCTGTCCGTTTGATTTGTCCTCCTCTCATGGCAGCAGCAAATGGTCAATTAGTCGAAGTAGTACTATCCAACATGTTCACGGCCTTTCTTCTCCGAGAGTGACTGTCGGCTGTCGAGTAGTGTGTGATGAACTGAAACCGTTCCTTTTTGGGATGGCCGCTGAATAAACCGAAACGGAGAAACTGTGGGCAGCTCTGAATTAAGCCTCAACCTTGTGGCTCAAAGAAGTCCCAAACCGTGTGTACCAAGCACCACAAAATTGGTTTCGATTTTGGGATGCTGAGAAGAATCCCACGTATAATCATGGAGAAATGTTCAGGTTTTTTACCTTTTGCTTTGCCCCCCAGGTTCTGCATGGAAATTATTAAATTGAAGAAATGAGTGCCAAGCGTCCAGCAGCTGTGAAATGCTTTGGATTCCCTTTTGCCAACTTCTTGTACATGTGATCAATCAGTTTGCTAAAATAGAGGTAGACCTCGGTTGGTGTTTCATGGGCACATGTAATCTTTGTGTTTTGAGACTGCAACAATCGTGGGGATCATAGATATGTGAGCTCAGTTGATGTTGAAAATTTGGTCATAATTCGGCATATTTTAATCCAAAATAACAAGATAATAAACATGATATTTACAATGGGATTTGATTTGGTGATAGTGGTGAATGTAATCAACATGAGCATGCTTAATGTAGAATAACCATCAACAATCATATAATAACACAATGTTGACATTGCGATGAATATTAACAGTAAAACTTCTAATTGAAATAATGTAAGAAGGTTATACCCTAAGAATGGTCATCCGCTGGAGTTTGAGGCAGTATTGCCTCCGTTGGTGTTGACGGGAGCCTCCTTCTCCTTGTATCCAGTGTTGCCGTTGTCTCCAGTGTTTGACATATTGGTGAAGGTGAAGTAGATGTTGACGAACAGTGAGTAGTCGCGCCTTGCGCTCCCAAAAACCTGATCGCACGCCCGTCCGTACAAACGTCGCAGCAACGCGTGGTTTCGGAGGCCTACTCTCCCAACGCGTGTGCACACACTCGTCGGGATGGGATTACTGTAGCAGCAACAGCGTTGAAAATGGATGAAAGTGTGTCTCTCTTCTCTTTTAGGAGATCAAATCCATTCTCATTTTATATGAGGAATGGAAGATGAAGAGTAAAAATCATGGAATAGGAAGAGGAATATAGTAACTAATTCTCATCAATTAGCCATGAACCATCCTCCACTACACAACCATCAACCAACCATCAATTAGGAGTAATTGATGTAGGTTACCAATGGAATAGGAAGAGGAATAGAGCAATTAATTGTCATCAACTAGCCATGAACCATCCTCCACTATACAACCATCAACCATCCATCAAATAGGAGTAATTGATATAAGTTACCAATTCCCTAATCAAATGGATTAATTCTCAAAACTCCTCATCCCATTGATATCCCATAAGAGAATGAATACACATGAATTCCTAGCATAATGAGGCTTGGAATTTATTTGATTTAATTGATTTAAATGGATCAATTACCCAATTAAATCTAACAGTTGAGAAGCAGACTCTTGACTGTTGAGATGCATGCAAGGCTACTCCAAGCCAATTAGGCTGACGCCTAACTTTGCCAGAAGTAAGATGATGCCATACAAAGTGAGGTAGACACCTTATTAACTGTAGTACAGGTTTAACAATGTTTGCCTAGAAATTGAGTACACATGTGATCCGAATGTGTGAATTAACAAAGTGTGACTCTCCACGATCGCAACAACAACCAACCAAATATAAGTAGTAACTAACTAACCCAGTAAACTATGACACGCCTAACATTTGGGTGTGGCAATTTGTGGCCTTCATGTAAACATTCCCTTTAGGATATTTCTTAAGAATGTTGAATAAGATAGTCTATTATAGAACAATAAAATGTAGCCAATTGTCTAACAGCCCATATAAAAGAGCCAAACTTCATTAATATGACCTTTTCGATTATACGGAAAAGACACATGCGGACACCACCAAGTGTGTGCCCCTGGGTGCATGCTTAAGAAACTGACACTTAAATAAAATCCATGAGCCTCACAAAATGTTTATTTTAATCCTAATAAAAGTGTTAAACTTCAATAATACTTGCCGTATTTGTCATTGAGGCTCGTTTGGTAGATTTCCCAGTAATTTTTAGGGAAAAATACTGTAGGAAGACTCCTATAACAAATATATTAACAATTTACAATGTACAGGGCGAGATTACGAGTTTTGTAGCCATTGAATAATATGAGGGGAAAAAACTCTCTTTTCCCCAGTATTTCATTATTGACATGTATTTTGTTGTTTATGCCTTTTAAGTGGCTAGGCTTCCTCCTCACACACACTGGGTTGCTTCAAAAGCTCAACCTCTCACACAAGATGCCATTGACGACCAAATCCTACCGAGGACTTGGTTGCAGTGGATTAGATCATAGTCACTTCAAGTGCCGGAAATGCTGAACTCACCAATTCGTATAGACCCCAAACAAGTAGCGACCCTATATTCCAATACGCACACCAAAGTCTAATTACAAGTTGCACAAGTATAACAGTACTCCATATACACTCTACGCAAGTTGCAGACGGGTTTGTTTGGATTGTTACCAATTTTGCCCAATCAATATTTTGGTAGCGCTAAAATCTTGGTAATTTTTGACACTAACAAATTGATAGTATAGTACTTTTAGCAGCGTGGATATAAATTGGTAGCAAACCAAACATCTATATGTTGGGTTGGTTTGGTTTGTGGCCTAAATAGACCTTATCAAATTTTGTCAATGCCAAATTTTGTTAAGTTTTGGCATGACTAATTTTGGTAAGGCAAAGTTGTGTTTGGATTAAAGCCAAAATAGCCTAAGTTCACTATTGAAATGGCTTATTTTCTTACTCATGCCAATTTGGCTTTAAACCAAATAGACACTAAACACTATTTAAATTACCAAATATTGGTATGGCTAATTTAGGCCTCAAACCAAAACAGCCCGTTACTATTGAAGTTGCCAAAAAAAATTGGTAGGACAAAAATCAACCTCAATCCAAACATGCCTAACATGTCTAGTACTCCTTCTATTTTAAAATAAACGAGTCTAGTAATGTAGCATGTCTCTCTAGATTCATAGCCCTTGAATACATCATATTTCATACTAAGCTTATTTATTTTAGCACCTAAATATATCATATTTTATACTAGTCTGTTTATTTTAGAATGGAAGGGAGACGCAAACACATGTCCACTAGCCTTGGTGTGCGGTGCCAACTGGCCACCAGCAGCAGGCAGCAGCCCAGCTCAGTGCTGCCGCCGCAAGTGTCCAGCGTCCAGCACGCACCAAGCCCTACGTGAAGGATCCAGATCTCGCACGAGATTTGCCGCGTCCCCACTCCCCCCACCCACGGTGGCCTCGGCTTGGCCGTGGCCGCTGACATGGCATCACCTCATCCGCAAAGCGATAAGCCGGGAGCGCACCAGCCAACCGGCGCGCGACACCTGGCGCGAGAGGCGACGGTGACAGTCGGACGGGTGGGCCCCTCCCTCTGTCCCCGTTGTCCCCGTGCGTCGCAGGCGCGCGCGTCGCGACAATGGTGGCGCAACCACCGCTCTCCTTTCTTTTTTTTTTCCTTCTCTTCCCGCAGAGGAAAAGGACGTGCAAGTGTGAACGGCATCTGGCTAGATGTACTACAGTCCTAGAGAGCTCGTGCCCATCGCGATGTACAAAGTCTTTTTCTTTCTTGGCTTTTTTGCGTGCTTCTGTGCTAGTAGTAGCAGGAAAAGCAGAGAGATGGGTTCATGGTGGCCATGTTGCGTAGCAAGTGATTTGATCCGATTCCGTGCCGCCTAAAAACCGTTGGTTAAACTATGGGTCTCATACACATCGCGATCAAAACGAATGCAAGAGCGTAAAGGTATACTCGGATAAGCGCTGAAAATGCAGTAGTACTGGCAGTGCCGTTTTGCAAGCAGCGCGAGATGGCGACCCTCTGCTGCTGCGACGGCGATTTGCCGGCTCGGCCAATGCGGAGCCGTCAGCTCTCCGCTGCTCGGCTAAACACCGGGCAATGTGAGCGAGAGTACGCGCGAGACGCGAGCCGACGGGGGGAGGGAGAGTGACCGCGCGGGTCGGACGGTCGGTCGGACCACACTCGCGCGCGCGTCTCGTGGCCGGGAGTCCCTCCACGTGCCACGGACCCCCTCAAAACCCCCCGCGAATAGTCGAATCCCCCGTGCCCAACGCCCAAAAAACACAGCCAAACTCCGCGAGAAACCGAGCTGCGAGCGAGTGAAACGCACCACGCGCCGAGCGGCAAAGCGAAGCGAAGAAGAAATGGAGGCGGTGGAGGACAAGGCGATGGTGGGAGTGGGAGGAGCGGTGGCGGCGGGGTACTCCTCGTCGTCGTGGGGGTTGGGGACGCGGGCGTGCGACTCGTGCGGCGGGGAGGCGGCGCGGCTCTACTGCCGCGCGGACGGGGCGTTCCTGTGCGCCCGGTGCGACGCGCGGGCGCACGGCGCCGGGTCGCGCCACGCGCGGGTGTGGCTGTGCGAGGTGTGCGAGCACGCGCCCGCCGCCGTCACGTGCCGGGCGGACGCCGCGGCGCTGTGCGCCGCCTGCGACGCCGACATCCACTCGGCGAACCCGCTCGCGCGCAGGCACGAGCGCCTCCCCGTCGCGCCCTTCTTCGGCCCGCTCGCCGACGCGCCGCAGCCCTTCCCCTTCTCCCAGGCCGCCGCGGATGCCGCCGCGGCGCGGGAGGAGGATGCGGATGATGACCGGAGCAACGAGGCCGAGGCGGCGTCGTGGCTTCTCCCCGAGCCCGACGACAATAGCCACGAGGATAGCGCCGCAGCCGCCGACGCGTTCTTCGCCGACACCGGCGCGTACCTCGGCGTCGACCTGGACTTCGCCCGGTCCATGGACGGAATCAAGGCCATCGGGGTACCGGTCGCGCCGCCCGAGCTGGACCTCACCGCCGGCAGCCTTTTCTACCCCGAACACTCCATGGCCCACAGCGTAAGCCTCACTACCACACAGCTAGCTCTCGTCGATGCTCATGGCGCGGCGTTATGACATGGTTTCCTACGCGTTCCGCAGTTGTCGTCGTCGGAGGTCGCGATCGTACCGGACGCGCTGTCGGCGGGCTCGGCGGCGCCGCCCATGGTGGTGGTGGTGGCGAGCAAGGGGAAGGAGAGGGAGGCGCGGCTGATGCGGTACAGGGAGAAGCGCAAGAACCGGCGGTTCGACAAGACCATCCGGTACGCGTCCCGCAAGGCGTACGCCGAGACGCGGCCGCGCATCAAGGGCCGGTTCGCCAAGCGCACCGCCGACGCCGACGACGACGACGAGGCGCCATGCTCGCCGGCGTTCTCCGCCCTCGCCGCGTCGGACGGCGTCGTGCCGTCGTTCTGAGGAAGGACGTACGCACGGTACGGCGAGTCGGCGACGTGCGCCGTCGTAATTTTGGCGCGCCCCGTGCGCGCGTGCATGCGTGCGTGTGTGCGACGCATGGCCCCGTGTGACATGAATAATATGTACAGTAGTTTTTCATCCATGGACGTAGTATTCTATTGTACTCCTTGTACTCCTACTACTCCTCTTCTGCCTAACCAAGGCTTGTACATTACCATGGGAGTAGCTGTTTTTGCAACCGTGACCATGGTTCAGTGCTTCAAGTTCAAGGGCGTTAATGTTACTGTCCATTCTACTTTTGGAAAGGCTAGTACTCCTCCTACTTGCTACTAGAAGCTTGCCGAAAAATGGTAAAGAAAAATGTGCAAGAACGAACTGCAGTACTCATATCTCCATCAACCAGGAGGTTCGAGCATCATACTACTCTATTATACGAGTGTAATCATCAACCAATAACTCCCCTAACCTCACAGTTTTTCTCCTGATTTTGGTTTTTTTTTGGATATCTGACTGTTTTACACGTCTCCTTTTACTGTTCTGTGCACCTCGGCCTAATTTGCATGCTTATGCGTTGCCGGTGCGCCGGTTGATTACGTAATTATTCATGTATTTGGGGTTTGGATGCCGGTCATTGTGACGGTTGTTTCCGGTTGGCTGGTGCGTTGAGTGCCGCGTGCCATGCTGCCATTTTTTGTTTTGATCTAATTGTTTCTTCTGTTATTTCAGATCGGTCTATCCGTTCTGTATTCTGTGTCTTTGTGACTTTTTGTTTAGGTCCTTGGTATTTTTGAAAATTGAATGTGAAGAAGACAAAATTCTGTTTTTGGGTGTGTTTGTGGTTTGTTCTTCTGCTGGGTATGGAGGTGCGATTTTCCCCACCTGCCGTCCTCCCTGCTGGTCACACCAAATGCCTCATGCTCCGCCGCCATCGCGCATCTTCGTGCTCTCCGGTGAGAGCGACATGGGCGGCCGCGGTGGCGTCCACCACCGGCGCTGGGATGGCGTCGTGCCGACCTAGTGGTACATATTCAAAGCACCCTTTACACAGCTTTCCGTTCGTGCTAGTTTCTGTTACGTCTTTTATTTACCTGTGAGGTGAAACCGTGCAACAACTTCCGTATTGGGGGACACGGACATGTACTGAACCACGTAAAAAGGGTTGGAATCATTGAAGCCTTTTCTGTTGCAGATGCCATGGAAGTTTGATGGCTGCAGCCGCGTAGTGCAACCATGTGACCTCGGTACTAGCGTACACCGCTTTGGCACAAAGCCATGTGAAGCGCCGTATCGGTGTGCCCGTGCCGGGTGTGGGGGTGGTACACATGTAGCGCATGTGATCATGGCAATGGTGACGCGATGCATGATACAGTGAATGTTGTAGGAGTATATGTGAGCTGCTCCAGAAGAGCTGTGAACCTGGAAAGTGGCGCAGCACGGTGACCACAGCGCATCCAGATGCAGTGGAGACATCCAGAAGCATGTGTAATCCTCTGATATTACGGCATCCGCAACAAGCAAAAAGAGCAGCACCTACAAAAGACATTAATTAATAATACTAGTATTTAGCACAAATATTCCAGCAATGTGAAAAATCTAATGGTACAAAACTTAGTCTTACGGACTACATGGGGTCTCAAAGTCATACAGTCGACCAAAACGCTAGGCTCCTGCTTCAACAATTGTATCAGCAGCGGCGGGGTTTTTCCCGAAGGGTACACAAATGCTTCCGAAGAACATACTCAATCCCTATAGCTTTTCAAGACTCCATAACACAAGCGCTTACAAAAACACACCGAGCCCCCCTAACATTTCCAGCAAATTGGAACTAGGCGGGTTACGCGTTATTTGCGTAGGGGGACTCCTCGCGGTTGGCTGGCTGTGCTGGTGATCTGCTGTAGCTTCGCTCACGAGGAGGTGGAGGTGATCGGCTGTAGCTTCGTGCACGAGCTGGTGGTGGCGACCTGCTGTAGCTGCGCCTCTTTGGAGAACGATCCCGTGGGCTGTAACTCCTAAAACAAAGAAAGGTTTTAAAAACAAACAAACTTGCGGTTATCACAGAAAATAGTTGCTTAAGGGCATGTATGTGGCAACACAACAACAGTAGCATGATATTCCGCTTCAAGTAAAATGAGACAATCTCAACTACAAAATCCTTCAACCGAGTTGTTACCATGTTTGCCTTAATCTACTGTCATCTTATCTGTATGATCAATCCACAATATGCTATAATGCAGTAACAAATAACAAACTAAAAAAAATAAACACTAGTTATCTTAATAGTTATTAGTGATCATGGTAACAGTATATGCATCTTAGTAACATAGCCCTGAATTTGAAATTGAACCCAAATGTAAGTGCGGACAAAGCTGATCAGTGCCATTGAGCAAATATTTTAGTGAGGGAGAAAGTTACAAGTTTATTGGAATACTTATATATCTTGTACTTCAAGCTTCTTATGTAAGCACACCTTTTAGTTTCTCCATTTTCACAATCTTGAATATGGGGTAGCGCAGCTATATAAGTTGGTATATAAAACTGCAAATGTAACAACGATTTGGCTGGCCAACAAGAAAGAATCTAGGGATGCCAAGATATCATTTTGTCATTACTCATATCTACAGAGCCTGTTTGAAGACAATAACTTTACATTACCTTCTACCATAGCTTGGGCTCCTCCGGTATCTTGGGCTGCGGCTGCGACTACGACCGCGGTACCTTGGACTCCGGCTACGGCTGCGGCTGCGGCGTCTTCCACTGCCAAGGCCTCCAGAACCAATCCGTAAGCGGCATTCACGTGCAAAATGACCAGGTTCGCCACATTCATAGCACTTCATGTCAGAACCACCGGAACGATCTCGGCCACGACCACTACCAGCTTTGGTTGACAGCTCAACCCTCCATCCATTCTTGCCTATAAGCACATCACATATCAGCAGGATGATTGTAAGCGGAATTCATGGACTGTTTAAATTTGTGAGTAACCCTATAATAATATGTTAAGTAATAGCTAAAGCATAGAAGTAGGTTGGAAAAATACAACACATCAATTGAAAGGGTAAAAGAATATCTTGGTCAAGTAACAAATCATATGATGATATCACAATTTTAATGTACAAAGCTACATGCACAACTGAAGTCACAGAGAAAAAAGAAAGTAGGCATGTACCAATATCTATCAAGTTTCTTAACTTGGAACAACATGGGCCTAATGTGCTTGCAACAATATATGTATATCACAATATATCAGATCAATATAAATGTAGAGTGTCAAATTTTGACCTCGATTTACTAATATCACCACTCTAGAAATAAATAACAAGGCCCGGTTAGGTTAAAAGACGGACCTCTTAGTTGATATCATGTAAAGGTTCAATTTAGAATTCTACTAGTGAACAGGAATTGAGATTCAGAATTTATGAAACTATGGATTTGCCCCTGTCTATTATTTTCAAAACGTCCTTCTAAGACCGAACAGTTTACAGGAGATAGCAAGATGCATTCATGATGGTAAGCTAAAACTATATGTTTGGACACAACATATTTTATCTATAAATTCAGTGTCTATTGTTTATCCAAATTAAATTTATAAGTTGCTTGAATCATGATTCAGACAGAGTTATTTATACTATAACCAAGATAAAAATTGATGGGGACTCACTTGACTAAAGAAATAATGTAATAGCCATTTTAATGGCAAAACTATGTAATGCCAGAAGTTGAAATAGATAACTCATTAGAGAAGTGCATAACATGAAACTATCTTGCATGAACTACAAAGACAAATATCTACGCTTATTACCATCTAAATCACGAATTGCATCTTCTGCATCCCTGCGGTCATCAAAGTCAATAAAGGCAAAACCTGGTGGTTTTCTAGCAACCCATACACTGCATAGAAGAAACAACTCAGTTGAAAGTGGAAGAATCAGATAATCTCATTTGCAGACATAATTAAGAAATCATTACTGCTCCATATAGACTATGAATTCATTACCATTCTTAGTATTGAGTAACAACCTAAATATCTCTTCCATGGTTGTCGATACAAAAATCATCTTTAATGTTGTGACAGAAATCAGCAATAAAGAAACTAATACACACACACACACAAAGAAAAACCTATGGCATACAAACCATGACTACTCCATGTGAACATCAACAGCCTTCAACATAACCCTTTGGCATGCAGATACAAACATGCCACTGAGTGGTTCAACTAATGAGTAAGTGATAAACTCTTTAGACCAGCAGACAAGAAATTCAGAATATTGAGATATCGCCAGTCTATTAAGAAAGGAATTCAGGCGTACACTGACAGACCAAGAGATAACATGACTTTATTTCATATACTTCACAGTTAACGCTGCGTCACATTGTTAAACATCATAACTTTACTTGATCTGCCTCTTCATATCTTATTGTTCACTGCAAACTCAATTACTCTTCAAGTTCACCTGATACTTTCTAGCATATACGTTGCATCCCACAGTATGAGGCATGACATACAAACCAGACCGATCCTAATACTCAAATTAGATATATTTTCCCAATCCCACCAGTAGAACAGAGCACTTAGGTGCCCAACAATAAGTGACCAAGTAAGGCAGATTACTTGTTTATATAAAAAGGAATTAATTATATCCAGCAAAATTGCATTGCACCGAGCTCTCCACCTCACATATGTCAATGAACTAATTTTACCCCAATAAAAGCACAGTACAAGACAATCATCCCCTGCTATCATTACTAATTTGAGAGCTAATACCCACCATTTAAAACTTAAATTGTAAAGCTGCAGCATTCCAATTTCAAAATCACACGCTTGACTAACATCCATACAAGTGGCTAAGCAAGTCAAACGAACAAGCAGGCACATTAAACAAGTATACGCAACACAGGGAGTAAAATATATATATATAGTGATTCTTAGCTCAGAGTCAGCAGAATCTCACACCTCCTCAGAACCCCAAACACGCGGAACTCGTCCTCGATCTCCCGCGCCGTCACGCGCGGATCCAGGTTCCCCACGTACACGCGAGCCATGAGCGCGCTCGACCCTGCAGGTATTCAACACAAATCACTCCCACCACGCTGAGGAAAGCAACAAGCACCACCACCAATCTCTACCAAACCAAAAGTAGAAGAACACAATCACACACACACAAAAAAAAAAAGAGGAAGTAAATCCGGAAATTCCTCGCGTTTCCGACCGGAAAAGGGGGGCGCAAAAGCAGAAGCAGCGGGGGATCTGGAGAGTACTTGCCTTTGCGGGCGCGTCCGCCTTGGGGGGGATTTGGGTTTCGGGGTAGGCGAGGAGGAGGAGGAGGAGCGGCTCTAGGGTTTTAAGCTCGAGCCGTCGAGCGAGCGGAAGAGGAGGGGCGGAGGGGCAGGGGGGAGTGTAATATCAGGCGGAGGGGGTTGACGGATTGGGGACAGGGGCATTTACGGGATTCGAGTTAAAATTTTTGTCTCTGTTTGGATTACAACGGGTTCCCCTGCCCGGTGGGTCCCGGACCAGCCGTAAACCATTCTCCCTCAGCATTTGAATTTTGTCTAAATTTTATCTAAGAATATAAGAATTTTTATGTTCGTTTCTTATTTTAAAAATATTAACACATGATTAATTAAGTTTTAATTACTATAAACTTAAAGAAAGATTTATCTCAACTTCTATATAAAAATTTTCGTACAAAATACACCGTTTAGCAGTTTGAAAAACGTGCTAATGAATAAAGTCTTTATCTTGATATAAATATAAAAAAGGCGGGGCCTAATAATTATCACATCAATTATTTCTTATTTAAATTTCTTTATATCTTATCTCTAATCCCCTCCACTCCAACCTTATTTAATTTTCTTTCTATCTTATCCCCAATCTCGTTCACCTCAACCGATCGGGATTTATACTATAGGCTATAGCAAACCATATTATTTTATACATCTTTTAGCAGCAAAATATGGACCACCAAATCAAAAATATGTATGACTTCCAAATCGTACATGATCTCAATCTACCCACGATAATCTCTTATTAAATGAGGAGCATTAAAGTCTTTTCTTCTCCAACTTTTAACTAAACAACTAAATGTTGGATGTTTGGAGTACATACTTAATGCAGTTCTCCGGTGCTCGAGAAGGGATGAAGTGGTGGTGTAGCATGGCGACGAGGCCAGGGCAAAACGAGGACGTCAAGCGCTGTGTTCGCTCGGGCGTCGCGCCATCGCCTTGTGCGGTCGGGGTTAAGTAGAGTTCGCGCTTGTAGGATGTCATAAAGAACCTGAACCATCATAGAAGATAGATATTGGGAAGCCAAAATAAGATGATGAGGAAGAAATGGGTAAGGAGAGAGAGATGTTGCGGCTATTCAGTGGGAAAACAACATAGACTATGACACATGTGTGAAAAATATAATAGGAGTATAGCGGTTTTCATCGCTCGCTGGTTAGCTATCATCTTCAGCCAAATTTAAATTTCAAAACTGGACTTTAGAGTTAGTTTTATTTTTCTTATTGTACTCCACTTTCCAACATTAGCTTTCAAATAGCTAATAATAAATATATAAAAGTTTTACTCATATATTTATTTTTGTTGTTTCTTCTTTTTTTTTTACAGCTTACCAACCGATCAAAGCCAACTAGAGGATAAACAAAACTTTACATCCACAATACCAAAATCCATGCCGAATCAGTGACAAGAGAAGCCAAATTTATGCTTGAGCTGCCAAAATTATAGTGTCGACTTCGAGCAACATTATTACAACTTTCACTACTTCTCCCAGACTTCATAGCAAATAAACATAACCTTCCAGCTCCGATTCAAAGCCACTTATTCTTTTTTAGGGCATTCAAAGCCATTTCTCCATTCCAAGCTCGAAGGTTTAGATACAAAAGAACAGAAAATAAAGAAAATAAAGAAAAAGCTTGTGATTTATATCTTGTCATATACTTCCTCCGTTTCACAATGTAAGACTTTCTAGCATTGCCCATATTCATATAGATACTAATGAATCTATATATATATTAATGTCTAGATTCTTTAGCATCTATATGAATGTGGACAATCCTAGAAAGTCTTACATTGTGAAACGGAGGGAGTATGAATGATCAATTGAACTACTCTTCAGTTGCTTTACACTGTCATAATAAGCTGTTGAGTACATGGAAAAGAATATGAATACAAAGCATTGATTTTTTTTTTTGCGGGAGAATACAATGTTTTAACTTGATACACCGTGTATGAATTTTCAGGACAGGCGCCAGATCAATACAATTAATTGGATCACTAGCCTGCAAATCTGCATGTCATTGCAAATATGGACAGGATTAACCATAAACAAATTGGTTGGATCCAGCAAATGAGATTCAGACAAAAGCTTTCCTGGTTGAGGAAGTTAAAAGCAAAAAAAGGAACTCATGAATCATGATCTGCTATTGCCCGAATAAACTAGACAAAGCCGTGAGATATCCAGCCAGCTGCAGGAATGAAAGTGCAGATGATTATAAATGTGCTGTACTTTATGGTAGATAGGTAACAATGGTATATTTTTTACAGTATCATAGCTATTCGTTGTGGGCTCTGATTACTAAGATGGTATGCCTTCTTTATATTCAGATGAAATACCTGTGCCAAGATACCCTTTCCTGTCTGACCTTCCAGTACCAATCCTACAGTCAGTCCTATCATTGCCAATGCACCATTAATAGCTTCTGCTCGACGACGTCTCTGCGTAGCAGGCAACTATGATATGGCATAATGTTGAAAGGATGTTCATAAAGCATTAGCACCAACATAGAGCATTTTGATTTTAATCAGAGAGGAATACAAACAGGCGAGTTCTCCAGCAGGAAACATGGAGTAATCTACGGTAATGACTGAGGAAACTATTTCTGGTTTACATAGATGTGTTTTTAGGTGCAGTACTTATTTTCTCCCTGATAAGGATTTTACAGACTAGCCATGATAGCTTTTATGCATGGTCATGGAATGCCATGACAAGCAACTGAATAATCGAAAATAAATTTGAGCAAAGAAACCTTGCAGATTTCAAAAGCAACTTTCGTCCACATGAACATCATCACAGTTAAAGCTTCCTCAATAATTAGTTTAGGATAACTGAATTATGCAACACAGAACACACTGCCACATTTTGATCAATAAACAGTAGAAGATAAAGATCTGGTCCAGCAAAAAGTAGATAGGGCAGCACAAGTCAGTAAAAAGGCTAAGAGCCTTATATGACTAGGGAAAAGTCAATCACTGCTTCCAGCTCTAAGAAAGAAATTTGCTGATAAGTGTTTATAAAACTGGGGGTGTTGTTATTAATTTTGGTTTAGAAAACAACAAGAATATTTTGAACTTTAGAGGAGACAGGTCTGGTGGGAACTGTGGAAGTACATGACAAATATCAAATACTGCACCTTCAGCTTTTCTCTGGCCTGAATTTGTTGCATTTGTTGAGCTGCTAAGCGCTTAGCTTCCAGTGGATCAACCATTACCACATTATCACCTGAACTTCTTTTGCCTTCTGATGCCTGATTCATTTGAACTCAGTGTCTTAGATACCAAACGATAATGACAAAGTTTTGACTAAAGCAAAAGAACATTGTATATTAGTTTCAAAAGAAGTATTGAATCCATTTTTAGAGGCAAAATAATATCTACTCTATAGCTAAAAATAATGAATCTCTTTCTGCAGAAATTCTTGAGGGATACAGCACCTGCTCAAGATCCACTACTAAATATCATGCTCCTACAAAAACACTTGAAGTTACCAATACCATATTCAATAAATTTTGTAATTTTACATTCTGTAGACCTACCAAACCAAAAGTACTTTTGAACCCCCAAAAATGAAATGATCTACACAGAAAGCCTGAATCATACATCTGTGCTAGCAAAAGCCAAGAAGCTTTGCACATGGGTCCTTCGATAGAATGTATGTCCTGGCTGCTTGTATTGGACAGTCCATCTAAGCAAGGAAAAAACATATAATTGGGCATCAGTTAACTCGGTGGAAATACTACAGATGATAAACTGAAGCAAAGAAATAGCCGTTGGCACATAATAGTAATTCCAATAGTAGTTTGATCACTCCCAACCCAAAAGGTGAAGGTGAATTGTTTAACACTCTAGAAAAACGAGTAGTATTCTTCTGCTACCAAAAGTAATTGTGGGTAGTGCCAGACATTATCTCTCTTTTTTTTTCTTCTTTTTTTTTGGGAAAATGAGGGCTAGTGCTGTGCCAGACTGATCCAGTGAAGTGAGCCAGCGACGATGGCCACCAAATTCATCACAATGAAAAGTTCTAAACTAGTCGTACCAAATATCATCAATATATGGAACAGCTGATGCTAAATTCACTCGAATTGCAGAGCAGTTGGAACAAACCAACAACTGACAGCGAATGATTTTCTTGTGTACTAACCACCACAACAATCTCCCCAACTTACTGGACAAACGAACGTAGCATCACGGAGCACCTTTACCTTCGAACCATGAATTATGCATCGGAAAAAAAAAAGAGATAGAAATGGGTGGCCAAGAACACGAGCAAGAAGGCAAGCGCGGATCAATGGGGACACCATATGAAAGAAACGCTTGCCTGGACGTGGACGGAGCCGAGGACACATGCCCCGTGGAGAGGAACGGAGACGAAGAGGAAGCAGCAGCAGATGGAGGAGGAGGAGTAGCCGACGCCGAGAGGAACACACGCGGAGAGCACGCCATTCTTGCTTCCCACCACCGCCTCTCTCTCCTCCCCTCTTTCTATGGACTCGAGAAGCCGTCGTCTTCCACCTCTAGTTTTTCTCTCCTCTTTCTTCATTTTTTTTTTCTCCTCGGTGTCGTGGTTATCCAAGTCGCCGTGGTCGTTTGGGCCTACGTGGGCTTAGGCCGGCCCACGAAAAAAATACTTGGAAGAAAAGATCTCCTCGCGTGAGCCGACGCCGCGAGCGAAGCCCGCGGCGACACCACCACCCACCAACGTTAGCTTCTGCGTGTGGCCGTGGGCGCGCGCTCCGCCCGCGCCATGACGACCGCCACCGCCATCGTCGCCGGCCACGGCCTCGCGCTGCGCCGGAGCCTGCACCTCTCCAAGCCCAGCTGCGCCACCTTCTCCGCGCGCGCGCTTCCGCCCGCCGCCCATTGCTGCCGCACCGTCGTCGCCGCGGCCGCGCCGTCGTCGCGGACATGCCGGTGCCGGTCCGTCTCCTCCGAGAGCTCCACCGCCGCCGCGGCCGACACCGCCGACGACGAGGAGGAGGTGACCAAGAGCGACTCGGAGGAGGAGGAGATGGACCCGCTGGCGGAGGTGTGCTACCTGGACCCGGAGGCGGACGCGGAGGGGATCCGGGAGTGGGAGCTGGACTTCTGCTCGCGCCCAATCCTGGACGCGCGCGGGAAGAAGGTGTGGGAGCTGGTGGTGTGCGACGCGACGCTGTCCCTCCAGTTCACCCGCTTCTTCCCCAACACCTCCATCAACAGCGTCACCCTCCGCGACGCGCTCGCCTCCGTCGCCACCTCCCTCGGCGTGCCCCTCCCCGACCGCGCCCGCTTCTTCCGCTCCCAGATGCAGACCATCATCTCCCGCGCCTGCAACGAGCTCGGCGTCAAGGCCGTCCCCAGCCGCCGCTGCGTCTCCCTCCTCCTCTGGCTGGAGGAGCGCTACGAGACGGTGTACAGCCGCCACCCGGGCTTCCAGTCCGGCACCAAGCCGCTGCTCACCCTCGACAACCCCTTCCCCACCAGCTTGCCGGAGAATCTCTTCGGCGACAAGTGGGCGTTCGTGCAGCTCCCCTTCTCCGGTCAGTGCAGTATTGGCAAATTCGCTGATCCATTAATTCCATCAAAAAATTGGTGCTGTTTTGTGTGCTTGCTAGTGTGATCCACATGTTCTCTTGTTGCGATCGAGCTGATTGTTTTCAGATTGTTGTGTGATTGTTCAGCTGTGAGGGAGGAGGTGGAGTCGCTGGAGAGGAGGTATGCGTTTGGGGCGGGGCTCGACTTGGACCTCCTGGGGTTCGAGCTCGATGAGAACACCTTGATACCTGGGGTTGCCGTGGAATCTTCGCGAGCCAAGCCTCTAGCTGGTACGTTTCTCCCATGACCAATGAGATGTGTAGTGTGGTCTAGGGGCTAAATTGAATGTCAAGTGTATGATGGATCTTTACTTTACTGAAACCTGAATTCAGCAAGTGCAAGTTAATTTGATGTTGCAGCACGCTACTCAAAATTGAGGATGCGTAGGGTATCTTCCGAGTTAATTTTTTTGTACAATCATAGTTCATGGTTGTTTACTTGTGTATCGAAAAATGACACTAGTGTAAGAATCATGTTTTCAACTTTGGAAAAATAAAATGAATGACAGCTTACAAGAATCAAATGAATGGCTAGTGCATATATGTTTATGTTATCTTTATTAGCGTATTCAGTATGATATTCCATTCTCCTCATTGTTGCTGCTTTTTATGGTAGATTGATCCACGAGATTGTAGGAATTGGGGATTGTATGACCAACTGTCTGCAGTTTAATTTCTGAAAGTATCTTCCAAAAGAAAAAAAAAATCATATCGAGTACATTCTCGTGACAGTTAAATAGGTTCATTGTATTCAAGTTGTCCGTTTGATTCTGTCATGTTTGATTGACCATTCTATATTTTCAAGACTGGTGTTAGGACTCAAAGAGGCTTAATCAGAAACATGTGTTCTTCAATCCTTGCAGCTTGGATGAACGGTCTAGAGATCTGCTCAATGGAGGTTGACACGGGCAGGGCGAACCTGATCCTATCGGCGGGGGTCTCGACCAGGTACGTCTACGCCGGGTACCAGAAGAGCGCCGCGACGACGCAGGAAGCCGAGGCCTGGGAGGCGGCGAAGAAGGCCTGTGGCGGCCTGCACTTCCTGGCCATCCAGGAGAACCTCAACTCCGACGGGTGCGTTGGTTTCTGGCTCCTGCTGGACCTTCCCCCGCCGCCTGTATGATTGATCCTGCAGTCCGGAGAGTAGCATCTAGCAGCGTGTGTTTCCATCAAAGATCACTGTGTAGTATGTGTAGCTCCAGTAACAAAATTTTCAATACAAGATCCCTTCCATCTGTACTACACACTGGTGTACTAAGGAGGAAAAAAAGAAAAGAAGAGGAGATAAGGGCTCTGTGTGTTTTCATGTGAGATATGAGTTTCTTAAGAAAAAAAAAGGAATAAGTTCACTTAGTCCCTCATGTTATCATTGAGTTTGAAGCGCGTTCTTAAATGGCAATACCAGATATAACATGTTCCTCATCTTATAAGACCGGTGTAAATCTAATACTAAGGCAGTATTGGAGACGGTTTTGGCTAAGGCGGCACCAGGAAAAAAAAACATGTGGAACCCACACTGGCATCTCCTTCATTCCTATCTCTCTATCTCCCTTTGTTGGTTGCGACTACGAGAGGGACGAGGAGGAGGAGGTGAACGAGAAGCACCGGCATGGGAGGGTGCAGCGGGAGGATGGGCACAACGGGAAGGATGGAGAGAAGTGCCACGAGGAGAAGCGGCAGGAGCGAGGTTGGGCGGAGTGGGGGGGGAGCAGAGGAGGCCAGGTGAAAGAGCAATAGTGGGAGGCCGGGGGGAGGAGCGGCGGGAGCAAGGCCACAATGACACTGGTTCTGCTTGTCCATCCGCAAGTCTAGGCTTGGCGGCGGCATTGGTAGCAATGGCAATGTGGTGTCCTATGCACCACCACGAGAGGAGGGAGGCGTGAATCAACTCCCCGACATCTTCCTTGTCAAAGGTTGCACTGGCAGGAATAAGCACAATAGTGTCAGCACAGTGGCGGCGAGCAAGTCCAGCTACTCCACGGACAGGGCCACCCCAATGACGGTGAGGTAGCAGCGCGCCATGTCGCCCCGGTGCTCCACGAAGATCTAGCGCAGAAAGACGTGGACTCTCGTTGTGAGGTCCTGTAGGCGTCTACATCTCTACGCAGCCCGACGGTGGTGGCGGTGGCCTAGATAGTAGGGTTGTGGTGGTCCATGGACGCCCGCCGCGCGCGGAGGTGGTGAGTGGAGTCGAGAAGACGAATCAACGCTGTTTTGTGTGGTGGTGTGTGGCGCGCTTTGGCAGAGCAGCGTCTTGGACGCCTCGTGCACGGATTGGAGGTGCATCACAACTCGTTGCGCATTGCGTCAGCTCCCTCGTCTCTTTCCTCTTCTCTTCTTCTACCATAGACCACCGGTGCCCCCTTGTCGCCAATCTCCTGTTGCTGCTACCACCTCCTGCTAATGGGCTCATCAGCTGCCGCCCCTCTCCCCGCCGGTGAGCTTCTGCGGAGGAAATGGGAGAAGTGGAAGAGAGAGGAAAGGTGGAAGGCACTTACATGCGGGACCTGTATTTTTTTTTTGTGAATAGGATGCCACGTTATCCAAAACAATCATTTGTACTGCTTTAGGACCTGGTTTTGAAATATGAAAGTTTAACGTTTCTGGTTTTATGGTTTGAGGATGTAATTTGAACTCGACATTACACAAGGTACCTAATGGGAACTTCTTCCAAGAAAATTCAAGGTTTGTTACAGTAGTTTCGTGGGCTTCCCCTCTAGTGGCTCTTAAGATCAGCAACGTGCCTACTCTGCCAGTCCCTCTGTTTAGGCCTTTTGTATGTTCAGCTGAGACGCTCTTAGCCCCACGAGGCCAGTCTCCCAGGCCCAACACGGCGAACACGTCCCACAGCCACAGGCCACACAGTCCCGCATGCACCCACGCACACGGCGGCCGGCCGAGAGATGATCCCCACCGTTTGCTGCCCACGAGGACGCCTAGCTAGGATCGCCCGTGCGTCATCGAGCCAACGCTCACCATGCGCCCACGGCCCGCTGGCCGGCTCAGCACGGCACGGCCACGAGACCACGAGCGGACCCATTCTCTCGCTCGCCTCATTGGCTCCACCCCATGCTCGGGTTCCCAGGCCCCAGCCGGGCCTCGTCCTAGTCCTCCCCACTCCCCAGCCCCAGATCCAGGTGCAATAACGAATTAACGACCGAGTCTCACGAGGCCACGACAATCCGCCCCCACACGGTGCTGAAATTCCACTGAAATAGTAGCACTGCTAGCTCTTCTGTGCTGGACTGCTCGTACACTGCACTTCATTCGTCCTAAAAAGAATTAATCTATTATTATAAAATATCACATCCAATACTAGCTAGTTTATTTTTTTTAGACAGAGGAATTACATATCACATAATAGTATTAGATGGAATCACCAATACATAAATGGAATAATCACTAATATACTTTTCTTTGCTCCTACTCTATTAATATTAAGGAAAAAGTACAAATTTCCTTCTCGAACTATCGCGGTCGGCTGAATTTTCCCCCTAAATCTGAAAACCAGACATTACTCACCCCGAACTTTCAGTACCGGACGAATTACCCCCCTCGACCTAATCCAGAGCAGTTTTGTCCTACGTGGCGTACGCGTGGCAACCCAGTCAGCATTTTCATTTTTTAAAACATGGTGGGGCCCACCTGTCATTCTCTTCCATCTCCCTTTCCTCTTCCCCTCTTCCTCTTTCTTTCTCTCTCTCCGTCAGGCGCGCACGGCGGGTCAAGCGCGAGCGCGCGGTTGCAGTCGGCGATGGCGTCGGCTGCCTTCCCGAAGGAACGGAACACCTCGGCACGGCCGACGAGGCAGGCAGTCGCGAACGGGTACGGGAGCCCGCCACGGCACGCGTCGAGCACCTTGGAGAAATGGCGCACGGCCTCGGCGGGGAGGTCCGCGTCCAGCGCCGCCACCGCGGCGGTGCGCCGGCGGAGCGGGAGCTTGACGTGCGCGAGGGGAGCTGCGACACGGACTCCGCCTCGCTTCCCGCCGTCCCTGACGCTGCGCCGGACTTGGAGGCTCTTCGCCTCACCGGCGCGGAGATACCATTGGCCGTCAGGTTGGACGGCAGCGGCCGGGTCTAGAGCAGCGCGGCGGCGTCCTCCATTAATTCAAGGTGGAAGCGGGAGCTTGGCCCAAGTGTCGGCGCAGGTGTTCTTGGAGAAGCCGGCGAGGACGCGGTGCTTGTGCTCGGATATGTCGAAGCTTCAGAGGAAGCGGGAGGCAGCGTCAGAGTGGTCACAGGTAGGCGAGAGCAGGTCGGTGCGGGAGGCGACAGCGAGGTTGCTTGAGCCGGAGGAGCAACAGGAGGAGGAGGAGGAGGAGGTGGAAGAGGAGGGCCACCGCTGCCCTCGCGTGCCGACCGCACGCGCCACCGTGGCTCCTCTTAGCCGTCGCGCGTGTCCCCCGAGCCGCCGCGCGTGTCCCCGCAGTCGTCGCGCGTGTCCTCCGAGCTGCCGCGCGTGTCCCCCGCAGCCGCCGCCGCGTCACCCGCCGCCGCCGCTGCGTGTCGAGGAGGCGATGTCGAGGAGGAATCACGTGCTGGTGGTGGCGAGGAGGTGGAGGCCGTGGCGGCGCAGGAACTGGCGCGAGAAGAGGCCTCAGGTCTCGCCGCCGACGACCACCGTCTCACCGTCTCGGCGTGGCCCACGCTCTCCTCGATCTGGGTGTGCAGCACCTTGGACATGTCGGCCACCGCCTGCTTCGTGTTGCGGGCGATGAGCGCCGTGTACCACGCCGTCTCGGGCATCTTCATCCGCCAGTAGTAGGTGAGCGCCGCCGGGACGGTGCCAAACATGACGATGATGCGCCACACGTAGTCGGCCTGCGGGATGAGGGACGCGGCGTGGTTGTCGGAGTAGGACGACACCGGGTACGCGTGCGGAAACCCCGCCGACACCGCGAGCGCGACGATGGCGTCGAAGAGGATCCCGGACCCTTGCATGGCGAACACGGCGGCGATGAAGGCCCCGCGCGTCCTCTTGTTCGCGTACTCCGACATGATGGTGGCGCTGAGCGGGTAGTCGCCGCCAACGCCGTGCGCGCGGCGCGAGCGGCGAGAGAGAGAAGAGATAGAGGAAGAAAAGAAGAGTATGGCAGGCGGGTCCTCTAATTTTTTATTAAAAAAACGCTGATTGGATTGCCACGTATGCGCCACGTTGGACAAAACCGCTCTGAATTGGTTTGAGGGAGGTAATTCGTCCGGTTTGCATAGTTGGGAGTGAAGAATATCCGGTTTTGTGGTTCAGGGGTAATTCGGACAACCACGATAGTTCGGGGGGGTAATTCGTACTTTTTCCTAATACTAATATATACGAAGCAAGGTTTTTATTCTTCTTTCAAAAAAACATAAGTTTGTATAGCAGCATCTCACATAAAAACAGATTTTCTTTTCTAGGAATATAGTAAACTTTTACATTGTCTTGTTTGGATGAACACACGATCAATATCGAAAGAGCTGATTTGCAAATGGTTGTGCTCGCGTGAGCGGGTTTCGATTTGGATTCAAAAAAATTTATGTAGAATGTTTCTATATCCGTCAAAAGTTTCTAACATTAACTTTCTATGCATAAACTTTTTGAAATAACATCCCACGGTGGGCCATGCATGTGGGTTAATTAGGTCAAACATGTTCATGTATCTAGGTCACATGTGAACACTCACCAATTAGACATCCCCGGTCAATATATTTAGTGACAATGGCACCCAAGTACATTTTTATGTCTTATCTTGAGAAACATAATATAAATGTAGGCGCTCACAACGGGCACAAACTCACTCCTATGAACGTACACATACACATCTTACCCCTATAAACATCTCCGAAAGACTAAGCTGATATATCTTAAGATTGACGAGATCATCACAATCGCTTCGCTGTTGATGGATAGGTTGCTTATCATTGAAAGAACTAGCTGGTGGCCCGTGCAATTGCGCGGCTAGCACCCAAATGAAATCATATTGTCAGGGTTATGGATACCACATACCTAATAGTAGTTGACTAAATCTCGGCAGGATCCACCACATACCATATCTTATACGGAAACTAACCTCGAGGGAGTTCCGGATAAGGAAAGACAACCAGAGTTCTACATGGAAACGACAAGGACTACTCGGATTGTATCCATATTGGTTTCCCTAATTCTACTTGGACAAGGGGACACATATGGGTATAAATACAAGCCCCTTAGGAGGACAGGGAGACACCCACGATGAGAAGATCAACACCCACCAGAAGCCACAACATACAAGCCTATATACGCCAAGACAAGCCGCCGGATATCGACATTAGAGATACGCCTGGATCGACCCTATCCGGTACTTTCAAAGGCCGGCCTTAGGGATCTAGCACTGTCTCTGATTCCATCGGGCGCGAGTTCGAGGAGGAGGGCTACCCTGTTGTCGACTACGAGTCGGACCTTCAGACCGCCATGTCGACAACAGTTAGATAGGCTACCTCAAATATTGTACTGGTGTGATTACCATGAATAAGAGCAATACCGGCTTCGACCAACAGGATGTAGGGTTATTACCTGACAATTCAGGGGCCCGAACCTGTATAAAAATCCCTGTCTCCATCTCTTTTACCTTAGTCTTGCATATATCCTAGCACCGACGATCCCCATACCATGCAAATACCAGAATTGTGACATCAAACGTCGACAGTGGCGCGCCAGGTAGGGGGATTTTGGTGCTTCAGGATTTCGACGAGATGGGTTCAAAAGATGGATTCTCCAACAACAAGCTACTCGATGACTTCGGCTGTGGGGAGGTCTAATCCGACCGGAATATATCCTCCGACGAGATCGGGACCATCGCCGCCGAGAAGGAGACGCCGACCTCCACCCGGTGCAGCTGCTGTCCCAAGTGCGACGCCCATCCAAGGAATGCCAAGCCCGACTTGGTGGCAGATCAATCTGTATTTGCTTCGTTCTTGTGTCCGGTTAGGACTGGAATTAGGCAAACGGAATACGTGCATGCATGACAACCGTGCCGACCAATCAGGACTCAGGAGATATCCATCCACAGGCCTACATGTTGACGTACGTACATATGCCGATCGGTTTCCAAAACCTATTCGGTATATGCACATCAACACATGTCTACACAGCACGACTGCATAATATTCAAACAAATCAACAAAGGTATTTAGTAGATTGATTTTTATAATTGATCTACTAATTCCGTAGATACATCCGGCATGTATCTACAAAGGTACGCAATATTTTATACACAATTTATCGTACCTATATTTCCAATTTATACAGTATTGTCAGATCAATAATTTATTATGTTTATCTAGAGCATGCTTCTTATACAATATCCGTTGTGCGAGTACTTCCGACGATAGGCCAACTATGGTCTAACGCTGGGGGCTCACTCCGTTCTCTTATGTATAAATCATGCTTGTTTACGGTTTACATAATGCCTGATAATTACATCTGCTCGTTATGTCCTGATAATACTAGAAGATCCATGCAGTTTTTTGAATACATACTCGATATTATCTACTATATATCTTGCCTTCTAGAAAATATTTTTCAGGAACAATTGAGCACTCGAGTAGGTTATAGTCGAGTACACTCCATTATCGAGAACATTCTCGACAAATGCGGAGTTATCACACCCAACCTACCAACGAAGATCGACGACCTATCTCATAGCACCGGCCATCGCTGGACTACTCGAGAAAAGGTTGTTAACGGATAATTCCTCGCGAACGTCGTCAGCTTGATCACCCCACATGATTGCGAGCGGACATCCGGATATGCTGTAAGTTGGGTATGTGAGTCATGCTGGCCACATGATATGCATATATAATAAACCAACTTTACCGCCCCTATAGGTGATTAAGAGACTCCTACTCCTGGTTCTCGAACCAGTAAAACATAGTGATCTCTCTTGCCTCACTTTAAGTGGTCGAGTTGCGACTACTGCCTGGTCCTCGACCAGCGACGTGTTTCTCCGGCTACTTCCACTTCAAGTGGTCGAGTTACGACTACTGCCTGGTCCTTGACCAGCGATGTAGCGTTTCTCCCACTACTTCTACTTTAAGTGGTCGAGTTACGACTACTGCCTGGTCCTCGACCAGCGACGTAGCGTTTCTCCGGCTACTTCCACTTCAAGTGGTCGAGTTACGACTACTGCCTGGTCCTCGACCAACGGTGTAGCGATTTCTCCTACTACCTCTACCTCAACAAAGTTGATAGTAGGTACATAATATCGCCAAGTGTTTTACCCAGAGATCCCTTACCACGACGACACCTAGCGTTGAAACCTATCCTATTGTCCCTTTACGCCGTCTTGACAATGCCTCCGAGGAACCTAAAGGATCTTCGGCTGGGGACGCCCAGAGCCGATAAGGCCTTGTCGGATCCTGTAGAGACAAAAGACCATGTAAGATCTGGTAGTGTAAGAGTTCTCGCCGTGCGTATTAACCAATCCGTGTAATCGGAAACTGAGCTTTCCAACTTCACGGCTGGGGGCTAGGATCAGTGCTTATTCAACCAAGGCAGGTCAAGGGTCCAAGAGCCTTATCCTCCGAGAACGATTCTCCGACGACAAGGCTGGGGGCTAGGGAGAGTGTATGACTCTACAAACTGACTGATCGAAGTCGGTAAGAGAGAAGACGCTCATACACAAAACATTGGTCGGTAAATTTAATTCATTTTCAATTTACCATACATATTATAACATGTCACCCTTTGAGCATTCGCTCGGGGGCTATTTCTATTTGATATTCTTTTCTGAGTATTGATTTCAGGAAAATTCTATTCGACATTATCGAAGACTCCATGTCTCTATGGTTCTACACCAAGATCGACTAAGGTGAGTACGACAAATGTCGACAAAGCTCCGTCGCAGACTCTACGCCTTCTCGATCGCTCGAGAACGGTTGCTGGATCTCGACAAGGAATACAGAATGAAGAGATGGTGCACCCACCGAGATAAAATTTCTTGACTTCAATCTAAATTCTCGATTACAGCAAGACGAGAGACTTAGTCGTACGCTCTGTACTTTCTCGGTCGACATCAGAGATTGACTTAGACAAACCCTTTCGGTGCCCGCACGAGGCTGACAAAGGAAGTCCAACGTTATCTCTAAACTCCCCGAGAACGGTCACATGAGCTCGATAACAGTTACTCCAATGTCTGCGCGCAGTTGAGAATATGAATTCGTTCATTTGCATCGAAGTCGGGGGCTACTGTCAGGGTTATGGATACCACATATCTAATAGTAGTTGACTAAATCTCGGCAGGATCCACCACATACCATATCTTATACGGAAACTGACCTCGAGGGAGTTCCGGATAAGGAAAGACAACCAGAGTTCTACATGGAAACGATAAGGAATACTCGGATTGTATCTATATTGGTTTACCTAGTTCTACTTGGACAAGGGGACACCTATGGGTATAAATACAAGCCCCCTAGGAGGACAGGGAGACACCCACGATGAGAAGATCAACACCCACCAGAAGCCACAACATACAAGCCTACATACGCCAAGACAAGCCGCCGGATATCGACATCAGAGATACGCCTGGATCGACCCTATCCGGTACCTTCAGAGGCCGGCCATAGGGATCTAGTACTGTCTCTGATTCCGTCGGGCGCGAGCTCGAGGAGGAGGGCTACCCTGTTGTCGACTACGAGTCGGACCTTCAGACCGCCATGTCGACAACAGTTAGATAGGCTACCCCAAATATTGTACTGGTATAATTATCAAGAATAAGAGCAATACCGGCTTCGGCCAACAGGATGTAAGGTTATTACCTGACAATTCAGGGGCCCGAATCTATATTAAAATCTCTGTCTCCATCTCTTTTACCTTAGTCTCGCATATATCCTAGCACCGACGATCCCCATACCATGCAAATACCAGAATTGTGACATCAAACGTCGACACATATATTTTTCAATATGGTTTTACTTAAAATTTATTAAAAGCTATCTACGGCCTGTGCATTGTCTTTTCTCTTTATTATCATTGGGATTTTAAAAATCGAACATAATTATCGTTCAGGTTCATTTT